GGTTGAAGTGGAGGGATCTGGACAGCCAGAGAAATATTTTAAGGTCATCTCAGGCCTCCAAGGATTTAGGACAGGTAAGGCAAAAAAGAGATGTAAAACTGTGTGTGTGTGTGTGCCAGAGAGAGAGAGAGAGAGCGAGAGCGAGCGAGCGAGCGAGCACACACGCGGGCGCTTTAGGGGAAAATGTTCACAATTCTGGAATTAATTCTGGTGAAGTCTTAACCTCTACTTTTAAAAATTGAGGATAATGTGCAGAGTGAGTCTGAAAGTCTCAAAACTGTGAGCAAGTTGAGATAACAAATCTAGAAGGGTGTAGGAAAACTATGGCTGTGACTTCAATGATGTGTGTGCTCTCTTAGGACAATGGGGGTCCTTTGAGGATTTCTGGGGTGAAAAAAGTGTAGGAAAATGGCCAGCCTTTATTGAGTGCCTACTGCATGCAGAGTGTTATAATGGGCTAGGTATGTGGAGGTTCAGAACGGAACAGAAAAGGAGAAAACACCCCCAATGTCCATTGGTGGATGAATGGATATGCAAGATGTAGTCTACACATAGAAAAAATATTATTCAGCCTTAAAAAGGAAGGAAGTTCTGATACCTGCTATAATAGGGATGAACTTTGAAGACACTATTAGTAAAATAAGCCAGTCACAATGGACAAATGTATTATTCTACTTTTATGAGGACCAGAATAGTCAAATTCATAAAGACAGGAAGTGAAATAGTGGTTGCCAGGGGCTGGGGACTGGGTGGGGTTGGGAATGGAGTTACTGTTTACTGCGTATAGAGTTTCAGTTTGGGATGATGGGGAAGTTCTGGAAATGGATAATATGTTGCATCAATGTGAATGTACTTAATGTCTCTGAACTGAACACTTAACGTGGTAAATTTTTACTACAGTATTAGGCCACAGATGTGATGTTTGTATGTACATTCATGTTATACATTACTTAATTACCTGTGAGGCTCTACTTGAGCCTATTCAAGAGAAAAAAATTAAAAGGTAAAAATAAAGCAAAATTTGTGCTAGGTATATTTTAACACACACTGAAAAACAAGCAAACAAAAAACAAGGAATAGAGCTCCCTTCAGCTTCTGGACGTTTGAGTTTTCAAAAAGGGAAGATGCATATAGCAGCAAGGAAGGGCAGCGCAGGGTGAAAGAATGGTTCTGAGGCTCAGCAAGGACCCCCAGGCACCACTCAGTTTTGAGTGGGGGGATAAGAAATCACGGATCACTGGGCATAACAATTATCTGTCTACCTGGCTTCCCCAAGAGACCATGAGCACCCTCACTAGGCACCAAATAGTATCTCAGTACAGGCTTGTGGAATGACTTCGAGGAGGGACGCGGCCCCAAGTGTCCGCGGAGTTGGGAAATATGCTCATATTCACATTCGTGGGTAAACTCCTGGGATGCTCTGGGGCCAAGAGAGAGGTGTCCAAGTTCCCAATCCGGGAGTTTACTCCCCCGGGTCTCTGACAGTCTTCTCCCACTGAAGGAGGTCCCTGGACCTTACGGGGCCCTCAATCAGGAGGCCGAAAACAAGGGACCAAGGCGGCCCCTTCCGAGGTTCCCGCCGCTTCCTGGATTTCTGCGGCCGCACAATTCCAATAACCCCACCCCCACCCCCTGGGCGGAGGGGCTGCTGGAGAGCCCAAATAAATAGTCTGTCCAAGGGAAAATATGAGAAACCTGCGGCCCAAGGAAAGACCTCTGCTCCTTCTCGGTCGCCCCAGAGAAGGAGAAGTGGGGGCTCAAGAAGCGTAAAGCTCGGCTGTCCGGCGCCCAGTGGGAGGGAAGTACTGGAGTCCACTGCCTACACTTGCAAAACGCCGGCTACTTCTCCAGCTCCGGATCCGGACCTGAGCCGGGGGCCAGCAGGCGCTGAGCCGCCGCCAGGGGGCAGCCCTCCCCCACGTGGGCGCCACAGGGCCAGGCAGGAGCCGGGCGCTTTCCGCGTCCACGCGAGCGGAGCACACGGGAGGGCGATCGCCGCGTGGTCCTCACCCTGCCTCCCAGAAAAGTTTCTCATCTCTCGTGCTAGCTTGAGTGGGTGGCGGTGGATATTTCCCAGCCGCGACTGAGAGCTGGGAGCGCGGTCGGGAGGGATTCTAGGAGGTGGGGCACGAAGGGGGCAAAGGGGGACACGCGGGAAATGAAACACTTGGGTTTCGCGCTCCGGAAATTTCGGGAGTGCGGAGCTAAAGATCTCGTACGAATGTGTAGCTCAACTAAAGCAAATAAAGCAAGTGACGTGCCCCAGTGTGGGACTTTGGGAAAAGCTCAACCAAATCTCTGAGAACACTGTCCCTGCAGCGCTCCTCCTGGGTTAGAGCGCTCCTCTGACCTTCACTAAATCCTAACACTTAACCCTGAGTGGCCAGAAGATAATTGGCCACGTTTTTCAAACGTTTCCAGGGAAGATCCCTTGAAACCCTTTGGGAAGGGAGCTTTGGACAAAGTCCACCTCTTTGCCCTCCTTGGCCAGACAAGTTCAGGGTGGTGCAATGACGGCTGTACTGATCATCTAAAGTAACTAATGGTCTCCGGACAAAGTCTTCCTCTCCGTTTTATCTTCAACGACTCCGCCACACACCAGTCCTCAGTCTAGTGAAAATCATGGTGTTTATTTAGCTATCGACTGAGTACTTATAAAACTTCAACTTCCAAATGTTAAAGTGAACTCCTCGGTAAGGACTCTTGGCTAGATCAACAAAGCAATGTAATGCCTGATTAATAGTGCTGATTAATGTTGGCTCAGGTTAATGCTGAGCCCATTACAATAATTAAATGGTTCAGCCATTTTTCAAACGAGAGTAAATGAAAAATAATTTATTTAGAACTTTGAGGCGTTCCCATAGATCTTTCAGAGATCTATGATGGACTTTGTGGGTCGTTTGTAAGTGTAACTGGTGGGTAGCTGTCCTCAGCAACAAAAACTCGATTTTAAAAGAGTTCTTAGGTGGGAGGAGACAGTTTATTTTTGAGATTCTGTGAGATTGATAAGGGGAGTAAGACGTTTAAAAATGTGAAAAATTTGGTGGATAAACTGATGTACACAAAGGCAGCTAATGATTGTTTCTACAGAAAGCCATTGATTTTTGATAGTTTTGTCAAGTGGTCATTTTAATCAGGAAGCTAAACTTTGGAGGCCAGTCCCCACTTTGAAATAGAAAGGTTTTGGGAAATGCAAAACCCCCAAAAGAATGGCTTTGTGTGAATTCCACAAGCTATTAGGATTTTTACACTACCCACAATAATTTGAGTTGATGACAAAGATAAGAATACTTAAAAATAATATATTTATTTCTACTACCTTGTCACCTGAAAAGGAAAATTGGGCTGAACAGAACTCTAATCTTATTTTACAATATTATTTCATTTCTTTCCACCAGTAGCTGTTGTAAATATTTAAGACTATTTATTTGACAGAGATCACAAGTAGGCAGAGAAGCAGACAGAGAGAGAGGAGGAAGCAGGCTCCCCGCAGAGCAGAGAGCCCATGTGGGGGCTCCATCCCAGGACCCTGGGACCATGACCCAAGCGGAAGACAGAGGCTTCAACCCACGGAGCCACCCAGGTGCCCCAGAAATATTTAAATTTTCCAAAAAACATTTTTAAAAGCTGGCTTGAAAATTTTAATTAATATAGTTTCTATTATTAAGCCTGAGTAGAAGTATGTGTATATGTTGTAGTTATTTAAGCATTTTGAGGTTACTGTGAGGTGTTGATTAGAATGTTCCTCTTACTAAGAACTACAGAGTCCCTTACCCCATTATGAAAGAACTTTTTGAGTTGTTTCTAGGTGCATTGTGTGTGGGTGTATTTGGGTTTTCACTAACATTTTCTATTTCTTTTCTGCGTTCAATGATTACTTACTTTATTCCCATGAAATTTGTCAGATCCTCTCATTAGTGTGGCTTAGTTTAGCTGTCAAGTTTCTAGGGCATTGGATTGCAGATAAGTGACTAAAACGCCGGCCTAACCACAGTTTTATTAACAGATGGTGGAAAACAAACGTCTTGGGAGAAGAACCAAAGAGGACAGGTTAAGAGGTCAGTAAACAATTATTATTGTGCTTAAACTGAGGGGTTTCTCAACAGATTTGTTGGGGAGCTGCTGGCCCAGTCTGAGGGAGATGGGATAACCCAAAAGATCTTGGAGCCATTCCCAGGGACCATCTCGGATGATTGGGGGAGGGGAGTTATCTCCGGGCTGCACAGCTCCTACAGGCCATCGAGTGGTCAAACTGTCGCGTCACGAGAGTGCTTCTGAGGTTAGAGCGGAAGGCTGATTGAAGAGTAGGAGCCTGGGAATTCTAACTCTTGCAGAGGCCCTAGGGCCAGACCACCGCAGGCCAGCGCCTAATTCAGGTCTCAAGCTTTTTGACAAGGAGCGGTGGGGTCCTGTCTCCTCGCCACCCCCCCACCCCCAATCTTCTCAGTTGTGGCTCCCTCCTCCGGGTAAACTTTCTCTCCGGAGCAGGGCTGATTTCCTAGGCTTTCTTTCCCTTCCCTCGGTAGCCCTCTGACGTGCACACCATGTGACAGGCCTCCTACTATAAGCCGGGGAAAGGTCCGCCCTCTCCTGGACTCAGCCCTCGCCTCGCGGAGCTCGGTCCCTCGACTCTCATCCGTCCCGCACCCTCCCTGGCGCCCGACTCTGGCTCTCCCGCTCGGGGCCTCGCCACCCCCTCCTTACTGACCAGGGCGCCGGGCGCTAGCAAAGGGGAAGGTCAAGTCCCCCGCCTAGGACCGGTGCGCGCGGAGCCGAGGGAGTGCAGAGACCGTGCGGCGCGCGCGGCCGCGTAGGAGTTACAAAGTCGCGGCGCGAGCGTCCCCGGCCGCCGGGCAGCCCCTGCTCAGCTCGAGCAGCGGCGGCGCCCACAGCGTGGCGCCCCCGTGCCGGGCTCGCCGCCCGGGACCCGGGCTGGGGAGCGGCGGGAGCCCGGCGCCCGGCGCCCCTATGAGCCGCCCCGCTGCCCGCGCGCCACAGCTATGACCCTGAGCACGGAGATGTCCGATGCCTCCGGCCTCGCGGAGGAGACAGACATCGACGTGGTAGGGGAGGGCGAAGACGACGACGACGACGAGGAGGACGACGACGAGGGCAGCGGTGGCGTGTCCCGCCTGGCGGTCCCCGCGCAGCGGCGGCGGCGGCGGCGGCGCTCCTACGCCGGGGAGGACGAACTAGAGGACCTGGAGGAGGAGGAGGAGGAGGACGATGACATCCTGCTGGCCCCGCGCTCAGGAGCCTCCCCCGCGCCCCCGGGCCCAGCCCCAGCGGCGGGGGCCGGGGCTGCTGGGGGCGGCGGCGCGGGCGCGGGAGGCGGCGGCGGCGGCGGTGCGACCGCGGGCGGCGGCGCCAAGAACCCGCTGGTGAAGCCGCCCTACTCGTACATCGCGCTCATCACCATGGCCATCCTGCAGAGCCCCAAGAAGCGGCTGACGCTGAGCGAGATCTGCGAGTTCATCAGCGGCCGCTTCCCCTACTACCGGGAGAAGTTCCCCGCCTGGCAGAACAGCATCCGCCACAACCTCTCGCTCAACGACTGCTTCGTCAAGATCCCCCGCGAGCCCGGCAACCCCGGCAAGGGCAACTACTGGACGCTGGACCCCGAGTCCGCCGACATGTTCGACAACGGCAGCTTCCTGCGGCGGAGGAAGCGCTTCAAGCGGCAGCCGCTGCTCCCGCCCAACGCCGCCGCCGCCGCCGAGTCGCTGCTGCTGCGCGGCGCTGGGGGCGCGGGGGGCGCGGGCGACCCGGCGGCCGCCGCCGCGCTCTTCCCGCCCGCGCCGCCGCCCCGCCCCCGCACGCCTACGGCTACGGCCCCTACGGCTGCGGCTACGGCCTGCAGCTGCCGCCCTACGCGCCGCCCTCGGCCCTCTTCGCCGCCGCCGCGGCCGCCGCGGCCGCCGCCGCCTTCCACCCGCACTCGCCCCCGCCGCCGCCGCCTCCCCCGCCGCCCCCGCCGCCGCACGGCGCGGCAGCCGAGCTGGCCCGGACCGCCTTCGGCTACCGGCCGCACCCGCTTGGCGCCGCCCTGCCCGCGCCCCTGCAGGCCTCAGCGGCCAAGGCGGGCGGCCTGGGCGCCTCGGCGCTGGCGCGTTCGCCCTTCTCCATCGAGAGCATCATCGGGGGTAGCCTGGGCCCGGCCGCCGCAGCCGCCGCGCAAGCCGCCGCCGCCGCCGCGCAGGCCTCGCCCGCCCCTTCCCCCGTGGCGCCGTCCGCGCCCGCGCCGGGGTCCGGATCCGGCGGCGGCGGCTGCGCGGCTCAGGCGGCGGTGGGCCCGGCGGCCGCGCTCACCCGCTCGCTCGTGGCAGCCGCGGCCGCCGCCGCCTCCTCGGTCTCCTCGTCGGCCGCCCTGGGGACTCTGCACCAAGGGACTGCCCTGTCCAGTGTCGAGAACTTTACTGCTAGGATTTCAAACTGTTAATAACGCTATGTTAGCGCGCTTGGGAAAGAGAAGGTAGGAATCCCGGCTCCTTTTTTTTCCTTCATGTTGGTGGTTTGGTATTTTGTTCGCTCCTCGGGGCGCGGCCCCTCCCGACCTCGCGCCCCGGTTTTCGCCGCTTGGGATTCTCAGACCCGACTGTGTTTGGCAGCAGCTGAGGTGCGGTTTTCGGCTCTGCGGGTCCCTCTATTTATGCAAATTCGCCCTATGCTGCAGCCTCCCACCCTGACGCGGGGTGGGGAGGAAGAGGGTGCTGGTGGGTGCCCTCTCTTGTGTAAGCGCAAGGGGCTTCCTTGACTTGTGGGAAAATTAAAAAAAAAAAAAAAATCTAAGCCTTTATGAAGGTCTAGAGATTCTCAGGTCCAGGCGTTGAAAGTATCAATAATGTTCAAAAGAATGTAAAGGTCCTGATTTACTATTTACGGTTTTACGAATTTTTATTTACTATTTACGAATAGTAAAGGTCCTGAAGAGTGCCAGCGAACCAATAGTTTTTACTTGAGGACACTCGTCTGGTGTAGTTTTTCATGAAAAGGAAAAATGATTAACATGTTTACACAAGGAAAAAAGTCAAAATTACCATTTCTTATTTTAACCTGTGTTTTGTATCATAATAGACGTGCGGAATTTTTATTTTGTACTTACTGCGTATTCTTTACAAGGAGTATTGTAAATTTTACTGGCAATTATTATTGTACTATTCTAATGTAAGATTTTTACACTTTTTCAGAAATAAAATGCTTAATTTTCAAAAGAAAATCCACCAAAAAATTGGCTTCAGTCGTCCCCTTCTTAGTTTATTTTCTTTTTTGTTAAAAAAATTTCTATGGGAGTTAAGTTGGAACCCAATATAGAATAGAAAATTTTGTTTTCAAAGAGAATTTAACAAAAGCATCATGCCATGATTTTTCATTTATCCTTTTCAGGTCAACACCATTGCAAGAAATCAGAAATTACTTTTAAATGATTACAATAGAAGAAGTTACTTTGGTGTTCATTTTCAAATCTTATTCTATTCCATTTTGAAGAGCATTGAGGCTATTAAAATTAATGTCATAGTTACCCCCAGATAATTTTATAGAACTTTTAATTTTGTTTTTGAGCTTCCCACGTCATTTAATTTCCATTTGCTTTGGAGCACAATATTGTATATATCTGTAAAAATTCTGCAACACATTACATTATAATGGAAGCAACACAACCAAATAGGCAATTTTTAGTTTAAAAATTGATATGATCAACACTCAAGTAGCTTTGAAGTCCTGACTAATATTTACATATAGAAAGTAAACTTTATTTGAAAGCTCTGGTATTTAAAGCTACTATTTCTTGACAGAAGGGATTCCAGGAATTGCATAAAGAAGTTTTTATTCTAAAAGGCAAACAGTGAAATTATAATTTAAATAAGTAATTTAGGGTATGTAAGAAAAATCTTCAATTTTAGGGTAGCACACACTTTGAGAATAAAAATGAAAATGTATCAGGTGTTTATTGAAGTAATTACACAATTTTTGTGATTTGCGATATTGTTTTTCAAATTTTAAGTGTTTTCATTAACTACTTGTTGCAGGCAGTTTCTAGTTCTTTGACAGAACCTGAGACTCTAGTTTTGATGGATGTTATCTTGGGCTCCAAATAAAACCAAAGCATATATAATATGTAACCTAAATGCTTAGTACCAGTGAGTTGCAGAGGAGGTTAAATACGTTTATTAATTCTTTTTCAAAAATCTAGACAGAAGATCTGCACAACTAAACCTATCAAGTTAACGAAGACTGAATTATAGGCCAATATTTTTGCAGTGACATTCACCCTTGGTGCCCCGTCCTCGTGTCCCTTTTTAGGGAGGAAAAAATGGACTCTCACAGTCTCAAAATTAAGTTCTGGGTTTTTTCCTATCTAACATTTGGAGGAGATTTAAAAGAGTTTAAACATACCCTCAAAGTTTACCACTAAATATAGAGATACAGATTGAAATATTCTTAGACCAAAATCTTATATGCAAAAGTTACTTTTACCCTAGCACGGCTAAGAGAGGAGACAGTGGAACGGAGAACGTCCGGATGCTCAAGCCGCCCCGGGGTGGAGAGGCGTTAGCAGGCGGAACCCAAACGGCACTCTGTAAGTCACAGATCTGAAACTTAGAGCTGAAAGTCATTATGGGGAGAGAGTGGAAGAACAAGACCGTGGGTATTATTATTATTTGCACGATACTTGGATGTCTTAAAAGGAGGGAACCCCAGCTAATCCTCTCTGTTCACATTCCCGCATCTGTAAAAAAAAAAAAAAAAAAAAAAAAAAAGTGCCCGGATGGGCTCTATCCCTTCAGTTGTCAGTGTTTTTAAGAGAATGGTAAGAAGGCACTGTTCAATCCAGTGCTGGGGTCATTTGGGGTCTGGAGGTGGGGTCCCGAATCACCCACGCCGGCTTGAGAGACCCCAATCGCTCGATGAACCCCTGAACCCTAAGGAAAAAAAAAAGCCCAACCCGCCTGCTCACTATACAGTTTTGCCTCCTTCACCCTCAGGGCTCTGGGTTCTCGGCGGCGGGTGGACAAGATAGTGGGGAGCGAAGGCGGCGGAACAGGCAGGGAGTGAGCGGTGGTCTGGGACCCGGCGGCCAGGAGCACAGGGCTCGCCCAGACCGGCTGCGTGGGCGAGCAGGTGCTGGAACAAAGGCCGCTGGGCTGCCGGGCTACCGCAGCCTTTGATGGGCAAGGACGTCTCCTCCCGGGGCTCCTCATTCGCATGCAAATCCAGCTCTGGTCCTCTTTTCTTTGAAGGCAAACAGAAGGATGTTTGTGTGTTTGTAAGGACGAAGCTTGCTTGAACAAGCCTTCCTCAATAGGCTGGGTCTCGAAAAATAAACCAGTTGGACAAACATTGGCCACCAGCTCTCCTCCTCCCAACTACAAAGTGTGGATTTGCTACAACTCATTAACCCGACGCTTTTCTCCCCTTCGTCTTGTTTCTCTGCTCATCAAACGCCCCCGTAGAGTCTGGAGACAAATGACCGAAGCACAGTCGGGAGGGAATTGCAGTTAATAGGGAGAGGGATATATTGGGGCTAATGGTTCAGGCAGCTCCGGGAGAAGGACCACACAAAAAGGAGCCTCTCCATTCAAGGCTCTGTTGTGCTGTGGAGATTTACTCTGCAGCTAGGTTTAGCCAAATGTTATCTATTGCGGTGGTAATGAAGCCCTTATGGGTTGAATTGCTCCCTGTACCACACATGGTGTCATGACCTGAGATCATTTCGTGGTTGATTTCTTTTTTCTCTATTGGGTAATTATTTTATTTCTTTAAAATAAGAAGCTAGCGCTTCTGCTCAACCCCACCCCCAACCTGTGCATTTATTTAAGAACCCCTTCCTTCCCTTCCTCTTAAAAAAAGAGAAAAAGAGGGACGCCTGGGTGGCTCAGTTGGTTAAGCAGCTGCCTTCGGCTCAGGTCATGATCCCAGCGTCCTGGGATCGAGTCCCACATCGGGCTCCTTGCTCATCGGGGAGCCTGCTTCTCCCTCTGCCTGCCATTCTGTCTGCCTGTGCTTGCTCTCTCTCCCTCTCTCTCTCTGACAAATAAATAAATAAAATCTTAAAAAAAAAAAAAGAAAAAGAAACTGGGGAGGAGAAGGGAAAAATTGTGAGAAACTTTCTCATTTTCTCTCCTGAGCCATCTGTATGTTTGCACATCTCACCTTCCCTGTCCCCTACTCAAAGGCCCTTTCCTGCCCAAACTTTCTGCTGGTGGAACTGGAATTTGGGGCTATATTTACTATCAAAATGCTTACAGTGAATGTAGTAAGCTTCCATCTGGGGGAAAAACTTCTGCCTTTCAGTTTTGTTTTGTTTTTTGAAAGCCCACTAAATTTCTTCCTGTAGCCTGTTCTCTGAGAGAACTGGGGGAGGTGGGGTTTTTCCTCCCCCCATGGAAAGTGATTATTATGATGGAATACCAGCCTATGTCATTTATTAAAGGCTGTCTGAGGCCAGTGGTAGTGCCTGTTTTGTTTTTCTCTTCTGGCCCTGGTGGCTCTGATTTCCTTGCTTGACCGAGGACCAAGCTTGGAGCAGCTAACGGTGTTGTTACAAGTGCTATAGATGGGTAGGGATTTGATCTTACTACCCAAAGCCAGGAATTAAGGACTCTTGTTTTAGTTTAAAAATTCTCTGCTGGCTACACATTTTGCTCACATCTATTTTTATTAGTGAGTGAGAAAAGTCATGTGGGAGCAACTCAAAGGTCATATCCGCATCAAACACAATTCAAATCAGAAATTTGCCCAGCAGTCCCTCTGGTATCTCTGGGCTCCTCCAATCAGGTAAGCCTGGGATAGCTGTGGGACACATTGGAGTTCCAGGGGTCCCCTTCCCCCTTTAAAGCTGAGCCAGACAAGGATAGGCTTGGGAAGCAGAGGACAAGTCAAGTGGGCCCAGCATTGTCAGCATCCATTTCTTGTCTCTACTGGTTTCCTGGTGTTGCAGCTGGGTCACCCGTGTACACACACAGGCATGCATGCTCATTGCCCATCAGCTGCCACTTGCCTTTCTTCTCCCCTATGATTTTGTAATTAGGCATATGCTTTTTGTTGGTAAATGTGTTTGATGTCACGGCCAGTGAAATGTGGAGTGTTTATAGGACCACGAATGTAAATGTGTAAATATGTTTAGTGTAAAATCTGGCCCTTCGACTTTAGCAATAAATACCCTGCCAATTTGGATACGATTACATTTGACAGAAAGATGGAGAATCTGATCATGACCAGCTGCTCTCAGCTCTTTAGGACTTGTACTTTCCCAACTGAATTCACTTTTCAGATAATTTCTTTGCATGTCACATCTCTCTAATCACATCTTTCCCTTGATGTGAACAGCTTGGGCTCCTTTCTTTTTAATGTTGACCCCTCTGGCACGCAGGAATCTTCCTGGTTTATTCCTCCTGCCTCTTTACCAGGAAAATACTATTCAGTAACAAGCAGAGACAC